TGAGCCCATCCCAAGGAGAGAAAAAAGGACAAGCTGGGATTTCCAAAGCTGCCTAAGGGACTTAGGCACTCAAATCCGTAGGTGCCTTTGAGAGATCTCAGCCAGAAGGCATCTGGGGTGGAATTTTCAAAAGCCCCTCCGTGACTTAGGAGTCCACCTCCTGTTGAAAGTTAGTGAGAATTGTGCTCCTAAATCACTTAGCCTCTTTGGAAAATCCCACTCATGTTGCCTGAGCCCAGATTCAGGTAGAGCTTTGGGGGAAGGGAGTGGGCTTGGCTGGGTTTTTTGGTTGGTTTTGGAGGGGTTTTGCAGAGTTATTTAGACTCTCCGTTTAAGAGCTTGAAATGTATTCAGACGCAAGCTTTCTGCCACAAAAATGCAGCTTTAATTGTGTGCGGTTGCCTGAATGCTCACACGGTTCTAGTTTTACAGGCCGATCCCTTTGATAGCAAACATTTTAATAGACAGACGACATATGGGAAAGATCATGCCACATCAGATGATAGATATTATTTAAACTGGGCAGGCCAGCCCATTTGGAAGGGATGGGGAAGTTTTCATTCCAAAGGGCTCATCCAACAGCCAGCATGTCTAGGAGAAGGATGGCTTTGTAGTTAGAGCAATGAACGGGGGGACCCGGGAGCCCTCTCTGCCACAGGCTCCCTGTGTGACCTTGACCAAGTCATTCAATCTCTCTGTGACTCAGTGTCCCGTGTGTAAAAGGGATTATCATGATTTCCTGGCACACAGGGATTTTGCAAAGATTGGTGTTTGTGGCATACTACCTAGTATTTTTTATTTATATTACAGTGGTGCCTAGAGACCCCATTCGAGATCAAGACCTCAATGTGCTAGATTCTGTGCAGACACAGTGTGTGAAATAGCCCCTCTTCCAAAAAGTTACCATCTGAACTGCCAAGACAGAGGGTGGGCGGGGAAAAGAGGTTCAGAGAGGGGAGGTAACTTGCCCACACTCACCCAGCAGGTCGCTGACAGAGCCAGGACTCCACTCACACCTCTCCAGTGTCCTATCCACTAGACCACACTGTCTCCTGCAATGCGATGGTGACGCAAGCCCCTTGCTCCATGCAGTCCATCCCAGTGCTTGTGGGATACACTCTTCTAGGCTGATTTTTTTGTCCAGCCCCGTTTTGGAGATCTGATCTGCTGGTATTTGCTGCAGCTTCCCTGAGAGAAATGGCACAAGCATGGTCAGTGAAGGGGCCAGCTGGATTAATGGCGGCTGGAAACACAGCACCCTGCCCTGGATGGCCAGTACCAAACAATTAAGGCCATTCTGGAAGATGGATACGTTTCAGAATCAAAAAAGCAATCAAGCAGCACAACTTTCACATCTATAAGTATCTCAGACAGGAGCCTGCAGGCTGCCTGGGCCCATGTAAACTTAGATGGTTAGTAATGTTCTAATTATTAACAGGAAATTTTCTACTCCTGCGAAGTAAACACTCTGGGAGTAACACTTCAGCCCCCAGTTGACTTTTACCAGCCTTAAAAAAAACAAACCCAAACTCTCCTGAATATAATTAAAACAGCAGCTGCGGGTTAGCATTTACAATGATACAACCCAGGTTTCTGTGCGACAGCAAACGCGGCCCAATCTGCAGCACTGAGCATGAGGAGTGGTGAATATTTTACCTATTAAAAGCAATTACCCAGGAGCCTCCCACTGAAGTGTGCAGAGCCAGGGCCCCCGGCCAGGCCAATGCACAGCTAAAACCCACTCAGACCCCTGCAAGGCACACCATCAATTATAGCGCAGCCTGGTTTGGAATGACTGGACGTGAGGTTTGCTGGGTCTGCGGGGTGTGGAATGGCCTCCGCCTTTGAGCTGCTAGCCAGCAACGGTGCTAGGACTGTGTGCGTTATCATATACACCAGGTGGAGATAAACACCACAGGAAGTACCGCCTCGGATAGCCAGACTGACAGCTTCCCCTGGGCCCCTGATTGGTCCAAGTGCCCTATTTAAGCCCAGGAGTTCCAGGAAGTGTCTGTGCCACAAGGTGGACTCCCCTGCTAGTTGTCGTGATGGACCTGCTGCTTCTCAGCTCGCTCTTGGACTCCTGACCTTTGGTTCTGACCGCCCCTGCTCCGACCGCTAAGCCTGACTGCTCAAGCCCCCGTCGTGACACTGGATGGGTGACATCCTAAAGGGCCGACATTGGGGGATTTGAGGAAGAGGAGGGAGTGGTGTGGGCCGCTTCAGAGGATTCCACTTCTGATAAGACCCTAGTGTCCAGCTTTCCAAGCATCCAACTTAAGCAAAGGCTGTTGCTCTGCAATCCCACAAGGTCTGGTTTGCATTGTTTAAAAGGAACCTCTTCAATGCATAAGGCCTTGTAAACACTTAAGTGACAGGAGCCTTTAAGGGCAGCATCCTACCCTTTGGTGTGCAGAGATGCGGGAGGCTCTTTCTGCAGTGAGAGGAGGCATGTTCTGGGGTGTATCTAGGCCCTGAGCAGACAAGGAGACACCTCCCCAGCTTGAAGAGCTCACAATCGAACGTCTGCACTGCAATCCCGAGCTGTAATTGATCTAGCTAGCTCGAGTAACAGTAGCAATGAAGCTCACCCAGGACCCCGGGTACAAACTTGAGTGGCCACCATCCATGCTGCTATTACTTGAGCTAGCTTGGGTACATCCCCATGGGCTGTAATCACACCTCCTGATGACCATGTAGACATACCCTAAATGAAGAGATGGCAAGTGAGTGTAAAAAACCCATGACGGGAGTGAGGAAGGGAAGGCGAGGTTCAACAATGATAGGGATGCAGGGTTGCATGGACTCACTAGGTGCAATGTGTCAGATTTTCCAGGCCGCTAAGCCACTTTGCGCTCTGTGAGCAGTGCAAAGCCGCCTCAAACTGGCCAGAGATGGCCAATGAAGAATTCACCCTGTGCTAGGGAGCTCTCTGCCAATGGGTCGTGGCAAGTGCAGCTGTGCTGTGTCCTGTTCCAGCCACCCGCCTCCCAGTGTAAGCGGAAGGAGGTGACATGACATAGGTGTGGCGGTGAAGGAAGGTGGCGTGGTGGAGCTCCGTTCCACCTGATCTTCCCCTGGTATAAGGACCTTGTGTCAGTGGCTTAAGTTAGAGCTGCCCCTGGGTTGCTCTAACATGCAATGGGCTTGGCCCTCCCTGAATCAGGGAGTTGCAACCAGCTCCTTATGCTGCCCCACACATGCACACGTGCTCGCTCGCTCTCAAATGGAGCAGAGAATCAAGGTCTTTGATTGTGGGGGGGGTTAAGTTAGAAAAATAAACAGACTGATATTGGCAAACCAGCTGCAGAGATAGGAATTATTGATAGCTACATGTTGCTGTTATATTTTTTTAATAGGAGCATTTATTTATTGCCCATTGCCTGGCACCCGGGCACCAATCAAGGCTTAAGCTGAGCCATTCAAGGCTCGATCACAGCACACCCTTTCTTTTAAATTAAGCTAGATTCCTTCTCGGTCTTTTGCTGCAAACTGAGCTTCATGTTTGAGTGCCTTGGATCTAGAGTGAACACACCGTAGTGAAAGCTGAATGGCAAATATATAGCAGCCTTCTTGATTGCTTTAGCAGTAGGAACTGACTTTATAGCAGCCCAAGACCCAGTGATAGGAACAGGCAGCTGCCCTGCTCAGTAGCAAGGTTTGTATTTTAGTAGTGAAGCAAAGCAGCTTTAAATGAGCATTGACATGCCTTTGACGTTTTTTATTGCCGGTTATTTTATGAACTTATCCCGCAAATACTGTCATGCACTCTGCAAATAGGGACTTCCACGCCGAAGGGCTGCGGGGTTGTTCTCTCTCTTGTCAGCATGCCCTATATAAATGGGTGGGAGAAAGGGGTTTGTATAACCCAAAACTCTAGAACAAAATGCTCTGGGCAGCCTCCAAATGTGTTTCGCTTGACTGATGAATACTTCTTTCCGCACTTTTAAAAAATCTCCTTTTCCAGCAACTGCCAGGGCGGTCAGAAAACAGATGCGCTCTTAGCCTCTCTAATAAGCTGTGGAGCAAAAGGAACAGGAGTTGGTGGGGTTAGGGTGAAGGGATGCTTGGGGGCTGTTGTCATGAAACGTTTTCATTGATGAGAATAACTTGGGGGATCAACCGAAAGTTCCTTGTTTTCATCGCAAACTGTTTTCTTGAGGAGGAAAAAGAATCCGTGTTTTATAGCATGACTCCAAGGGTACATGTCCACCCAGGTCGAGCTAGGTCGCTAGAAAGAAGAGTAGCCATGGTGGTGGGACAGGCTAGCTGCCCAACTATGTACCTAGGCTTTTAGACGGGGTTATACTCAGCCTGTCCTGCTGCTTACACCGCCACCGCTACACGTCTATTTTTATCACACTCGCTCGGTCAGAGCTAGCACTAGTGTGTCCACCTGCGCTGGAAATCACAGCTCCAGCTCCACTATAGGCCTCCTCTATGGCAGATGTTCTGCAACTCAGGTCCATTGAGCACTGGCTGGTTAGAAGGTGGTGGCTCCTCCTCCTAACTTGCACTGAAAAGAGCTAAAAATATTTCGCTACTTTCCTAATGTTGCTTTACCATGTAAGCAACTTCTGCGGTTGCTGCGTGGATCGTCTGAGATTGTGCATAGGAGTGAAGGAGCTTGGTGTGACCATGAACGGGAAAGGAAGAGGAGACAGGGCAATGACAAACAGAAGGGAAGGTAGATGTGAGTTGGACAGGAAGTGTCCTCAGGACAATCTCTGTATTTAGCTGTGGTCCACACTGTAAAGGCTTTTGAGAACCCTTGCTCTGGGGGATTATGAATGGGATCTGGGGCCTTTCTCCTCTAGGTCCTCACCTCCTAGGTTGGATCCAAAGCCATTGCTTCCTGATGGATATTGGTGGGGCTTGGGCCAGTTCCTGGAAGACAAGTGCCCGCATTGCAAACATCACTGTGGCAGTGTTGGCTCCGTGTCACTCTGTTTGCCTCGAACCTCCTTCTAACTGCCCTGTCTGCTTCATTTCATTCCAAGGTGGATCAGAGGAGAGCACTTCAAGTACAAATTTAGCCGACCTGAAGGCAAACATGCAAGCGAAGGGAAGTGGTGGATTCGAAAGAGAATCGGGCCGTACTTTCCACCTGTCAATCTCCAGGGGCTGCAGAAGTTTTACGAAGCGAGGGACTGGCCGTACCCAAAGCAGAATTAACAAGAGGAGAGTAATAAACGTTGACCAAGAACAACCAGTGTCCTGAGAGTTTATAATTCTCCTTTCCAACGTTTTTTTTTAAATGTGTCTTTTTAATACTCATTTTATACTAAAGTCATCAAGCCAGGGTGTCTGTCTCCTATGTCTGTCTGTCTGTGCCTATCTTTTTGTTTGCCCAGCCTTCTTTCTATCTCTCTTCCTATCTACACATCTACCTGTCTTATTATCTGACCTGTTTTATCTAGCTGATCCGTTGGAAGTAATCCAACCAAACTGCCTCCTCGAAAGCTAAACCAGATTTTGAACAAATAGAGATTTGGAGGGAAAATGGCAGTTTCAGATTGGCAACAGACATTTGAGAATTTCTGTATAATGGGCCATGTAATTCTGATGACTGTGGAATGTGGGTTGATCTAAAATTCAGGCAGGTGAAACACACACACACACACACACCCAAAATGACACAATTTTAAAATTTCTGAAGTATTATCTGAAGACAAAACTCCACCCGCTTTTTCACATCTCTCTACTTTGCAAAGTGTCAGGGCCAAATTCCACGCTGTTATACTGGTTTAAATCCGGATCGCTACCTCCGTAACTGAGGACAGAATTTAATCTTAAGACTATGTCACACATGTATTAGAAAGATTTCAGTACAGAGGCAGTAAGTGATACCGAGTGAGGTGTAATTCCAGTATCAGTTGATGGTTTTGGTATTCTCTTATATACCAATTACAATGAACATATGTGCAATATTTCCAGAGGTTTTCCTGTGGAGCACTGTTCTAAATAATCCAACTTCCCTGCCTGCAGTGAGCTCTCTTAGCTAACAGTCAGCTGGCCCCCAACTTAATATAGAACACACGGCATTCTTGTTTGGCCTGGGCACAGGTTTAGAAAGATGGAAGCTTTGAAATCCTGAGACGGCTTAAGTGTTTTCCTTCAAAAGGGGCTTATGCTGAATCTTGACTTCCTAGTGGGAGAACTCCAGACATTTTCCTGCAATGCTGAATACAAGGGGAACTGTAATATTTCCTTCAGCACTTGCTACTTCTACACAGGTTTTCTTCCTCTGAGCAAAAGTCTAGTCCTCTGAAGGATAAGTTTATTAACCCCATTGGAGGTATAAAACCACCAGCCTGAGATAATAGCACAGAAGATAATTTTATATTGGATTTTCTCACTAAAGATAATCCTGTCATGGGACACTCCTTACACTCTCTACAAGAACTCCCATCTTAACTATTCTCAAGACTCTTTCAAGGCACAGAGGGGTTATTTTTGCCCTTCCATTGTAGGGGTCTGCAGTCCCTACTTCTTGTCCATTAGACCCTTTGTGTCAAAACCTGATGCTTCTGCTCTGTTCTCCTATATCATGGCTGGTCTGAAACTGAGCTGAAAAAAAAATGATCCATTTTAGTTCAATCAGAAGTTATGGGCTTAATGCACGAAACACTAGGTGAAGTTCTCCAGTCTGTGTTATGCAGGCGGTCAGCCTAGATGATCATAATGGTGCCTTCTGGCCTGGGAATCTCGGGTTCTTTGAAAGGGCCGGTGGATTTCCTACTCTCTAAGGCCTGGTCTACACTGGGGTGGGGGGGCCATGCACAGAGACGTGAGTTGCGTGTGGTGATGTAGCTGCCCTTGATTCCATCAGAGTTGCCATGTAGTGACTGCATCGTTGTTCTGCCCTGTGGTTAAATGACCGGGGATGTCACTATAAAGTGATGTTCTGCAGAGATGCCTTGGAAGGTCAACAGTATGATAAATAAACATGCAAAGTCTTTATAATGCTGCTTACAGTTTGGTCTTTGATGTTGGTAGGCCAGCACTGTGGGCACTGCTGAGTCTAGTACTCGTTAAACTTTAAAATGTCACATTGGCGGCCTTGGGCTCCCTCGTCTGTCACTTTAGCCCTTTCCCCTCTATCCCCTGCAGCATGTCATTCTGGCTAGGTCAGGTTGAGTTCATCCCCTCCTGGACCTTTTCAGTGCCATTCCCAACTCCGCAGAATGGTCACGGCCGAGAGATACCAGACTCGGAGCATTGGGTCTGCACCCTCGGAGCAAGAACCAGAGCTAAAGTGTTGGGTTCTAAACACCTTACAGCAGCATGTTGACTGACCGTTGGACACTGTCAACGCTGCTTTATTCTATATCTACCTAGCCTTATGCTACCTGCTCCTAGCACCCTGTAGAAGATCCGGTCTCTGGCTTCCTCCCATAGATTTAATGATCAGGTCTGATTATGTCTGTCTATCTTAACTGAGAGTTGTTAATCCGTCACAAGAGACATTTCCAGGTGACTAGGTTTGTTAACACTCAGTATTGTCGTCAGTTATCTAGATTCATTTCCTGAATCAGAGAAAAGACTGGGACTGGGAAATACTTAGGTATTAAAACGATGAGGACGAAAGAAAACCGTAAAATGAATTAGATTAGATTAATCCTCATCAGTCCCCCTCGAAAAATATTTTGCACCTTCTCCTCTTTAATTTAGACCTTCAGCTATCACAACCCTTCAACATGGTTCCAGCTCAAACCAGTTTATACTACAATGTGGCTGGTTGGCTGATGTGGACGAATCACAGAAGAGGAAGTAGAAAGTAGAACAGGGTCGTGTTGGGGATGAGCATCTTCAGAAAAAGAAAACCAACTATTCTAAATTGGCCTTTATAATCATGAATTGCTGGTTATCTAACTAGGATGAACAGAACACAAGTTTAAAAAAACCCAACCTAATTAAACAAATTACCCAAATTAGCAAATAGTTTTGTATTGGGTATTCAAAATGCCAGCAGTTTGCTGAGGAACCGTAAATTGCTAACAAGTACTGCATCGTGGCCAGTCCTTGTGGGCTCACAGTCCTAGCTCACAGGTAGGACTAGGGCATCAGAACAAGCAAAACGTTGTGCTTTTGCTTTTTGCAATATAGGCCCAGCCTGCAAGCAGTTTCCTCACTTCCTGTGCTGGCAGAGATGATGTAACAAGCCACGTTTTGATCAGATGAGCCTTGTTACAGGGGCTGCTATGGAGTGTTGCTCTCCTGGGTTAGCAGGATACGGTGGGGGTTTTAAAAGGCTGTTGGAGTCAACAAGTCCGGCGCCAGCTTCACCAAGTTTAAACCGGTTTTGTTTGAATGTGTCCTGGCCCTGCAGGCCGGGCTCGCTGTACTCCTTTCCTGTTTGTTTAACCTGGGATTTTATAACTGGTTCTTTTTCTGAGGGAGGCACCCCTCCCCCACTGCTGAGATCCAGGCGGCAGAGCGGTCAGCCAGGCCACTCAGTGGGTGTGAATGAGTTAGAGGTGCGGAGCGCCTTGAACTCACACTAGCTTGGGAGCACTCAGCACCGTGCAGGAGGGGGCCTGACGTCTGCGCTTTAGAATTCTTCTCAATTGTCTGACGTGCACCAGGGAGTGAACACCAGGAGCCAGCCCGGCCTGTGACAAGCCCAAGTCTGCCAGGGCCTCTTGCAAGATGAGCTCTGAGTGCAGAAAAGAGCAAAAAATGGACAGACTGAAAAAGTTGGAGGAACAAACACAACCTAATGCACCTTTAAGTCACCAGGAGCAGATGATTCAGTGGACTGGACACGGGCTATAGAGCTTCCTACCTCTAGGTCACAGGTTCAGACTCAACCCACACCAACGGCTGCGTGGGGCCTGTGTGAAATGAGTTGATCTCAGGCCAGTGGGCCCAGCAACGTCCAGATGACCAACACTAGAACTGATTGGAATCCATTGTTGGCAGAGAGGCCGTGGCTGACCAGACCCCAGAGAATAAGAGTCTCTCGAGGTGAGGTTAGTGTTCAGGGTGGCAGTGATATGGGGAGGGTCAAAGTGCCATTCCACTCCTACCAGAGCAGCACCTCCTGCTGGCACAGAATTCCCTGCTGTTGCTGAGAAATAAAAATGTCAGTGTCCAAACCAGGGTAAGAAAATGAGCAAGGAAAAGCACTACTGTGAATCTCTGACCATTTGTCCTGCAGAATGTGTGTGTTTGGGTGCACACACATACACACACACACAAAGGCAGAAGGCTGCCGTCTTCATGGATGGCGCAGGTCTTTCCCAGAGGCTCACTGAGATAGATATATCTCAAAACATTTCCATCTTGCGCTTTCTCTCCCCTCTTTTGACAAATGAGACCAAATAAACTCCGTAAAGAGCAGATTTCTAGACAGGGATTAAGGGAAACAGCCCTTCAGTAATCATGGAGGCTTCGCTCTGTTTGGTAACCAAGGGTTAAAAAAAGCAAACGCGCAACATGTCCCAGAACGAAACAAAACAGCTGTGCATTTCCTCAGGTGGGCCGCACGCGCCCCGGGGAGGCGCCTCAGCTCCAGCTTCCAAGCCGACAGATAATAAATAAGGGGAACTCTGGGTTTCGCACCGTCCGTTTGTGTCTAAAGGAATGTTTGGCGTCGTGTCTCGGTGATGTAAAATCGTGACGGCTTCCATGAGATCCTGTGCCCCATCCGCAACATTACTCAGCTTCTTCTCCCTTTTCCTTGGCTCCCCGAGCCCTCCCTCCCGTTTCAGCTGCCTGGCGTCCCCTTTCTGGGAAAGACGCCTCACCTCTTCTGCAAAACCAATTATCCTCTCAAGTGAACTCGGGATCCTGGAGGAAGGAGCCTTGCAGCTGTGGAGTGTTGTGTTTTGTCCCATGCTCAGTTCCCACTGGCTCAGTAATGAGGAGGTGGGGGAGCGAGACAGACAGACAGACAAGAGCTCAAACCACTGCAGAGTCTAGCTGGGAAACGGAAGCATTCCAGACAAATAGTGATCATTCTCCAAACAGCAGTGCAAGGGCTATAAAAATACTGCTCTTCCTTCCCCTTTTGCCTATACATTCGAGAGGGCACTTGCAGAGGGCTCTTTTTCCCTTCCAAGTCCCTTTGTTTGGGGATTGTCAAAGGAAGTAATACAGACCCTCCCATGGCTATGTGCGGACATGACAAGTTACAGGTGGGAGGTGATCTGGGACTATCCCCAGTGGGGAGAGAGAAACAAATGCTGAATGTCTTCAGGAAGTAGTGGAAGGGTTGGAAGTCAAAGGGCCAGCTTATGTGTGCAAGGGTTTGCATGTCTGTGCGAGGCGACATGGGGGTACAGTTTACATGTGAGGGTGGGTTTGTTTGGGGAGGGGTGGGGAGTTGCTTGCACGTCCAGTGCATGTGTCCAAGTGGCTGCATATGTGGGATTTTTTTAATTTCTAAATTGCACCATTGCTTAATCTCTGAACACTCAGGCATCACGTTACATACGTGTATTTCACTGATGGATGTCAATCTAAATTGGCTTCCACCTCCAGATGAAATACCCTTGGAGAATTAGTGGTGCTGGTTGATGGAGTATTCAGAGACAATTGCTGGAATTATGAACCCCCCCTCGCCCCCAGTCAACTGAAGTATGTTGGTGACCCCTCATTAGTAGCTGTTTCTGACATTCAGGTGAGAGGTTTTCTGTTGACATGAATATCTGAAGGCTCAAACGGGTGTTTGTTGCCCTCCCAGGCAAAGGGTACGTGTGTGAGAAGAAGATTGTTCACCATTTGTTATGTCATTGGTTATGCTCAGCCACTCCAGGCGCATAAACAGGATCATGTGACTTAGGGGGCCAGATTAGTGAATGGTCAAGTTGAAATGTTCAAGAATAGGGTTTGTCCAAGCTAGCTGGGGAATTGAACGAATAAAAGGTCAAATCCTATCTCCTATCACAAGAGATGCCTTGCAGTTAATAACATCCGACTTCCAACCCCAGACACAAGGTCATTCTGAGGTAAGGATACAGTGGCTGTCTCCGAACAGAAGATGACCTCACTGCAACCAGAACTCGCTCCTGTCGTGCCAGTACTACTGGAGGTTTGGAGATGCAAGCTTGTCTGCTAGTGGAAAGTTAGATAAGCTGTGAGCTACGGGGGGCCCAATCTTGCTGCTGCTGAAGTCTGTCAGGGTTTTGTACTTGGCGCCAGTGGAAGCAGGATCAGACCCTAAATTAGAAGGTAAAGCTAAGCTCAATGCCAACCAACTCTTTACTTTAGACATTAGGACTCTGATTTCAGCTTGGGACTAGGTAGTAGAGACAGATCAGTTCAGAAGGGACAAAGGCGCCTGTTTACATCCACACACTGTCGGTCAGCAGAGGGTTGTTACAAAAGGTCTGAGTAGAATATACAGATTGTTTATTATTAGAATGTTGGAAGGATCCGA